GAGTGGAGTGGAAAATATTTCAACAATTAATTGTAGGGTTTCTTCTGGGCATCTGCACAGAACAAACCACCACCACCAACAACAAAGAACCCACCTGTGATTCCTATTCACCTGCTAATTTTTTCTCTGATACCTGCTTCATGTCTAGATGTCCAGGGTGACTTGAATTAGGAAAATGCAGTTCTTTCAAACCACAAGAGTTTGTTACTCAATTGTTCAGACTGATGAGCCTTCTAATATTTGCATGCTGAATGGCATATGCCTATTCACAGAACTATTCAAACACTAAGGAAAATGATAGCTAACTCTTGTACTCTTACCATGGCTAGGCGCTGAACTCATACTTAGGTACTATTAATATTACTGTGTTAAAAATTAGATTAAGGCACACAAAAAGTAACTGATTACATGCTTATACAGTTAGAAAATATAAAGTCTGTGATTTGAACTTGGGTATTTGGGCTTCAGAACCCACAATCCTTGAGCTTTTGCTACATTGTCTAAAAAGTTATTAGGAACACAAGAAAGAATATTCTTAAGTTAACATTATAAACTGAGTTGATAAAAGTTTTTATTTTTATGTACCAGTAAAAAAGGGAACAAGATAAAAAACAAGAAACAAGTTAGGGGAATATGATTTTATTTTTTAAGAAAAATTATATGTTCTAAAACATTTGACATTTCACTATAAGTAGAAAAAAACTAGATACTTAAAACCAGGATAAATACATCATTTATACTTTTAACTATGGCTATACTGAATGTATCTTCATGTAATACTTCCTAATAGGACATATCATACTGTCTTCAAAGATTACAGGGAAGGGATACTACAGAGCTAGAGAATCCTGGATTCTGTGGCACAGGAGTACGTCATGGGAGCTAGAAAGGGGCACTTGGATTGTAGCAACAAAACAACAATAAGCTAAAGTGTGTTAACGTGTTTTTAAAATGCCAGTAAACAAATATAAGAATGTCTGTAGACACAGCTCGTAACTGAATGCTCATCAGATAATTCATAGGTCTATAAAGCTAGGAATGTAATTTGATGGTTAGATTTTTAGTCATGATTCTCATCTCACTCTAATGTATTCAGAGGGCTATACAAAAAGGTCATAATTTCATCATAGTCAGCATTAACTCATTCACAGTAGTCAGAAACTTCATAAATGTGCCAAAACAGAAAAGTCCTTAACTAAGTTTAAAACCTAGTTCATGTGAGAAAATTCATACAGTAATGAATCATACAAATTTAAGCATTATAAAAAGTCCTTTAGCAGAGTTTACATTTTCATAAACATTCAAAATGATGAAAAAATGACTTTTAGTGGAAGTAGAAAAAAGCAAAAACTACTAAACACCAGCATCAATACATAATTCATACTTGATTGTGACTCTATTAAATGTAGCTCATATAGTGTTAAACCGAATACAGAGACTAGACAGCTATAGAATCCTGTAGCAGAGTCTGTGGCAAATGGGGTACCCTTACTGGGGGGGTGGGTAGGAATGGGTCCCAAGGAAGTGAAAAAAGAGGAGGGAAATGTAAAACGGATTTTTAAAAATGCAACAAGGTCTTTGGGTAGCACTCACACACATTAGTAAATTCCACACTGAAGAGAAATGCTTTATATATAGCAAAACTATCACTCATTCCTTAATTCACTATTAGAACTTCCACAAGAGCAGTTTTATGAATGTACTGAATATCAATGGCATTAACCAACAAGGTGGAATTTGAAGACTTAAAGACATAAAGGCAGTAGACAAGTGCTTGATGTGCCTTCCTAACCACTCTAAACAATACAGCACCCATTCCTAAGTCACATTAGCCCCTTATTCCCTGCACCATTCTTCATAGCAGCCATCACTTGACGCACTACGTATTTCTCCACTATAACAATATAAACTCCAAGAGAGAGTGCTCACAAAGCTACATCCTCAGCACCTAGGAAAAAACATGGCATGCAGTAGGACCACATAGGTATTCAATGAGTCAATTAATTTCCTTATGCAGAATACTTGGTGTTGCTTTAATGCATAGAAAAATGCGTTGTTTTTAATATACCAGAGTAAAAAAACATTGTAATTACTATGGCCTACAAATCGTTTTCCAGTATATGGGGGGGGGGGGGGAGAGGGGGGGGGAAAGGAGGGAATGACTGTACTCTGTAAGAAAAGCACCCAGAAAACCCTCATAATTGTACCAACCAGTGAGTCCACAGGGCCAAAAAAGGCAAGTCCCCTGCTTCTGCAATGAAGCTCTTGTTTTCTCAGGTAGGGAACATAAGTAATACTTGACTCCTGTGAAGGCTGTACACATCCTTATTTGCCTCGTCAGCCACTGGTGAAAAGGGCATGGCAGTTTGAAATCTAATAGCAGCAACGCTTTTGTGCAGTCTGGCACTGAAATCTTGCCTCATTAATTGAAGAAAAAAAAAAAAAGCAAAACACTACCAGGGGCCTACCATGCATTAAGCATTAAAAGTAAAAGTAAATTTCAAAAGTATGAAGTTCTCTCAGTAGTATAGAAACTAACTACAAAGTAATGGGATAAGTTCAATAACATGGGGAAGAGGCTGAGGGAACATAACAAGAGTACCTGATGCAGAGTGAAAGAGTGATTTCTGGCTTAAAAAAAAAATTCATTGGAGGAGCTGGGAATGCGGCTTAGTGGTAGAGAGAGTACCTGCCTAGCATGTATGAAGCCCTGGGTTCAATTCCTCAGTACCACATAAACAGAAAAAGCTGGAAGTGGTGCTGTGGCTCAAGCAGTAGACTGCTAGCCTTGAGCAAAAAGAAGCTCAGAAACAGTGCCCAGGTCCTGAGTTCAAGTCCCAGGACAGGCAAAAAAGAAGAAAAAAAAAACAAAAAACCCACATTGGACATGGAAGCTTTAATCTCAAAAATAACTAGGAATTTGCTTATCATACAAATAAAAGAACACACAAATACTAAATTCTATATATGTATTAGGGCTGATAAGTTTGAGGAAGAAATGGAAGTACTTGTGATTACTTGATCATCATATCTAAAAGGAAAAGGGAAAGTCTAAGTCTGGCCTGTATTAAAAAGAATTTAAATCTTTATAATTAAAAAGAAAAGGTATTTACATGATAAAATTTGCTAAAATGCTAATTACATAGAAAAAAATCTTCAGACTGGTGTAAAGATAAGTCAAGAGACCTGCAGAATGGAGAGTTTCCCTTGCCACCAAGATTCTATCAGCATTCATGTTTGTTACAAGAGCCTGGGTCAGGCTCACTCCTGTAATCCTAGCTACTCAGGAGGCTGAGATATGAGGATCATGGTTTGAAGCCAGCCTAGGCAGGAAAGTCCATGAGACTCTTATTTCCAGTGAACTTTTCAGAAAAAGCTAGAAGTGACACTGTAGTTCAAAGTGGTAGAGCTAGCTTTGAGCTAAAGCAGCTCCAAGACAGCATTATGCCTAGGCCCAGAGTTCAAGCCCCAGGACCAGCAAAAGAAGTCTGGTATTTTTAATCTGTTAGGATCACAGAGTTGAACACAAAACCTGTAGAAATGAAGTGGGGAAAGTAGATATTGTTTGAGAAAATATGAAGCAGAAAAGCTTTTCAGGAATATGAAAGTTATTTGTATACACCAAATTTAAAATTACTATGGTATGTTTGTCTAAGTGAAGACATTCAATAGGCAGTTAGAAAGCAAGAGGAAGATTGGAGTTCAACCCAACCTCCTTCTATGGTGGTATAAGCAATGGTTATGGTTATGAATGGCATCAGAGAGTATTTTACAGTAAAAGCAAAAAAGAAAAAAAAAAAAAAAAAGAAGAGAAATGGAGAACAGAACTATAGAGATCACTAACAAGAAAGCTAGGTAAAAATGAGAAGTCACAAATGAGTGACATACCATGAATGAAACCTATAGCATTTATTAGTCTTCAATAGGAAGCAGGCAACTTCTTTTCCTCCAAAATAGGAGAAAATGAGTGAGGTTTGTAACTGTTAGTTGACTTCTTTATGGTGTCAGGTTTCTGTACGACAGGAGGAAAGGCAAAGAGCCTGAGGAAAGTGAGATGAGAAAATCTGGTTCAGCAAAAATGGGGGAAAAGAGACGACCCTAGTAACAAACAAAAGGCTTACAGTAAGGGTCCTTCTAAAGTCAAATGACACACTTGTAGTGTTCTACTCTGAAGGGATGCATTTTAGACAAGCTTGGTCTAGGAATGATTCAGTATGATAGGCTCACAGAAAGACTAGACAAAAAGATAAGACCAAAGAGGAAAACAACAAGTGCCCTCTGTCCATATGGTGTCCATGAAGCTGAAGGGAAAGAAGAAAAGCTGAAAGAGGTTGATATAATAGTTCAGGAGGGAGGTCAAGAGAGGAAGTCTGCAAAAACACTATAGCTGTATAGTGAAAAGAACAAAAAGAGCACAACAAAACCAAGAAAGTCAAGGTAGAAAGATGAAAACTATTATTAGCTACTGAAGTTTCAAAGAGAGAAAGTAGGATGGTTAATGTTCAAGGCGATGACCACTGGGAATAAGTTGGTGGAATGTGATGAAGTCATTGGGACAGGCATCCTGTATATCAGCAAAGAATTGGGCACAGGGTCTCAAGACGACAAGAGTTGAGGTAGGCAGAAAGACAGTGAGCAGGACAGCAAATTTGGCTCTGTGGCCTCTAAGATTTTACCTCCACTATGAAAGACAGAAAATATTAAAATTTCAATACTATATGAAAAGATAGTCCCTAAAAGCATTTCAACTAGTGATGGACTAATATAACTTGATTTCTATCTTCATTATTTGAGAAACTATGCATTTCATTTTAAACAGAATAAGAAAAATCATTTTAATAGTTTGCATTAAATGCCTAAATAGAAATTCTAAATAATGTTAGTAATGTATGACAAAGTAATCAAATACAATTCCCTTGTGGAATCTTCTATTATTCTGAATGTAAGTCATAACCTTTCCTTTTGCCTACATCTATATTCATACTACATATTCAAAGCAATAAGGTAATGGATTCTAATCTTTGAAGCATGGCTAACTTCCAGATGGAGATTAAATTTTGTGCTACATATATCATACATCAACAAAAATAAATAAATAACAATCCATCTGGGCATGGTAGAACACGTCCATAAAACTGGCACTTGAGAGGCTGAGACAGGAAGATTTTGAGTTCAAGGCCAGTCTGGGCTACATAGTGAGTTTGTGGCCAGCCTAGGTTGCATACAGTGAGATCCTATCTCAAAACAACACTAAAAAACCAAGACCTAAAATTAAAACCAAAAAACAAAATACCTAGAAAAATACTTGGTAAAGCTAAATTGTGTTTCTCCTTACAAGTGATGATATCTGTAATTCAAGCTAAGTTAGAGTAATATACATATGCCATTTAAGAATTAATCATTTCTTCACAGGTTTGAGTATATATAATGAGAGATGATAGTATTTAGAGAAGGATAACCACACTGAGTATTTCTGAAGTGTGAATCTTTTTCAAAATTAGTGGCAGTATCTCTTTTGAACACTTATTTTCTATTTCATGGGTCTTCTTGTCTTTTTGATTAAAAAGAATTAGGTAAACTACTAGTTACATTGATGCTGAAAGAAGTTTAAAATTTGTTTTGCATTGGTTGTATTCCACTCTTGTTCTTTCAGCGGTCCTTCACACACGGATACATACTTTTTCAAAATTTTTTCTCCTACTTCTCGGAAATCCAAGGATTCTTTGTGTGAAGTGCAGCTTGCTCCAGAAACACCAGTATCCACTTCATGATTTTCTGGCTGATGATCTGCACAATACTTCAATCCCCAGTAGCACATTTCTCCACTGTACATCATTGCCAGCAAGTGAATATCACTGAATATTCCTGAGAGGGTCATTATTTTGAACAGATCAGAATTAAGTTTTAAAAATAACTTAGTTATTAAAAATAATAAATTCCTTATCAAAAAGTATATTTCATCTCATTTCACAATACTTAGAAAAATCCCAGACCACTAATACAATTCTAATTTAACCAATACTTCTATCAAGTTACTTATAAAAGAAGTTCATCTCAAAAATGAAGAGTATTCACATTAAAAAAAAAAAAGTAAAGAACCATTTAGATAAGTGTTTGTGTGTTTCTCTTTAGGACCTATTTGACAATTAATTTTATCAGTGGAAAACCTGGTAGAAATCGATTTTCTTTGACAGAGCCTTTGGAAAAATTTGCCTATGAAAAAGTAGGTTTCCTACCTCCTAATCTAATGATGTACAGGGAGATGGATTTGGGAGAACAACCTTCTTTATGTAACAGGCTGACACCAGATAACGACTATGACAAAATGGTTGTGCTGCCTATAAGGTTTACTGCTTCCTTGGGAAATGCTTAAAGACCAGATCTGACCCCTTGATTCCACTGTTAAAGAGGCAATCGGAGCTAGGAGTACGTATGTTTAAATCATCTGGAGAGGGGGCTGGGAAGGTGGCTCAGTGGTAGAGCACTTGCCTTGCATGCGTGAGGCCCTGGATTCGATTCCTCAGCACCACATAAGCAGAAAAAAAAAAGCCAGAAGTGGTGCTGTGGCTCAAGTGGTAGAGTGCTAGCCTTGAGCTGAAGAGCTGAGGGACAGTGCCCAGGCCCAGAGTTTAGGCCCGACAACTGGACCCCACCCCCCCCCCCCCAAAAAAAAAGTCATCTGGAGAGATAGCACCAGTGTTACAGGCCTCCCAAAGGGGAAATTCTAGGCCACAGAATATCTTCTCTTCTAATTAGGAGAGGATGAAGGGAATGGGTGACTTATTTTTTAGATTCTAAAATCCTAATCTTTCTTTTCAAGTGTCCTAGATTAAGAGTTCAGTGGAATTGGCCATGTAGGCAGTTTGAGAAGACTTTAAAGACTATTTTAAATTAATAACTTCATTAGTTATCTAGAATTTATTTTCCATAAATACATCAAAACATTGTATTTGTCAAATGTCATGCCCGCTGAAGGAGCTCTTGGATGCGCATTAAGTTGTTTTTAGATGGATGTCAATCTAAATTAACTTAAAACAATATTTCTTGGACACTACAAGAAAGAGTCCTGGCTCTATGTGAATGCCATTTAAACACACCCTGTGTTTTTGTTTCTGCTTTACATGAAATATTTTCAAATTAGGAGAAAAGGCTTAGAGAAACTAACAAACAGAAAATATTAAAATATATTTTAAGATGATAGAATTTTCCCAAGAAGCCATCTTATTTAAAATTCTTAAGTTTCAGATGAAGCATGTAAGAATATGAAGTTTTACTATGATTTTTATATCATTTGCAACTAGATGACCTTGATCAAGTCACTCAGTTTATCTGGACTTCAATTCCTACATTTATAAAATATAAACTATGCTCTCTGTATCTGGTCCCTAGACCTGTAAGTTTCTGCTTATAGCAAAAATGTAATAATAATTCCCCTAGCCTTCCTTGGTAAAAAATTTTCACTTGGGATAGCAATATATAAGGTGAAGAACTATATTTCCCAGACTTCCTTGCAGGTAGGTAAACTGCATGTAGAAGTGTTATAATAAACTTTTGTAAAGGCTGAGCTAAAGGAGCAAAGATAGCTGAAGCATATTTTCTTCTCTCATCCTCATAGCTTGAAATAGAGGAGATGGAAGAGCCTCCAAGAACATCTTGGGATACTGAGAATGGAACAGGGATGTATGCTATACAACTCTGAAAATACCATTTATATTGTACTTTTTATAAATTGTTTCTACTTCGAAGCTAAAGAGTCCGGTTATAAATGTGATGGAGGAAATGATAAGAGTAAGATGGAACCACTGTACTAGGTCTGGACCTTACTATGTGAAAGAGCATAAATGTCTCCCTTGTTTAAAAGTTATTATTACTCTGATATGAAGAGGCAAACCTATTTCTGGTCAAAGCAATGTGAAGATACAAAATAAGTAAAATTATGTAAAACGTAATGCTACTAAACCACAGAGATTACAAATATTTTTTTTTTTTGGGGGGGGTCTAGTCGTGGGGCCTGAACTCTGGGCCTGGGCACTGTCTCTCAGCTCTTCAGCTCAAGGCTAGCACTCTACCACTTGAGTCACAGCACCACTTCTGGCTTTTTTTCTTTTTGTTTATGTGGTGCTGAGGAATCGAACCCAGGGCCTCAGGCATGCAAGGCAAGCGCTCTACCACTGAGCCACCTTCCCAGCCCTACAAATATTTTTCTATATTACATGAAATTGTAACTTTTTAGCTTCTTAAGTTTTTACCTCTAACTTAGCATAAAGTTTATATAAACCTGATATTAGTTTTGCAAAAGTAAAAGCTAGAAAATTTCCTAAAAAGCTTAAAAAAATACTGGTGGCTCACACCTTTAACCATACTATACTTAGGAAGCTGAGATCTGAGGATCAAAGTCCTAAGCCAGCCTGGGCAAGATAGTACATGAGAGACTCTTACCACAAAATAACTACCAAAAAAAGCCAAATGTAGCATGTTAGAGCACTGACCTTGTGCAAAAAAGTTTGGGGATAGCACCTAACCCCTGAGTTCAAGCCCCAAGATCAGCACCAAAAAAAAACAGGAAAAAGATCACATTACCTGCACTTAGTAATTTAGCTGTGTCTAGGTCTTGGAAAGAAACTCCTTCGTTTAACTGGATAGGACAACGATAATTTAACATCTTCAGCAAGTAATTGATTCCATCAACAAGGTACTAAATAAAAAGCAAAGGCAAAGAATCAAATATCTAATGGTTATTATATTTCAGTATGCTTTTACCACTCCAAAGTTTCAAAACATCAATATATCCCTTGTATATCCCTTAAAATAGAAAGAGTACAGGGAAAAAAAGATGTTTTTATCTATCTGTCTGTTGATCTATTTACACCTACACACACACATACAAAGAGAAAACTGAAAAATGTAAAAATGCTTTAGTAATATTCTCTTCAAAAATGTTATGAGAGGCCAGGAGCTGGTGGCTCATGCTTGTAATCCTAGCTACTCAGGAAGCTGAGATCTGAGGATCGCAGTTCAAACCTGGCCCAAGCAGGAAAGTCTGTGAGGCTCTTATCTCCAATAAACCACCAGAAAAACTGGAAGCGGCGCTGTGGTTCAAGTGGTAGAGTGCTTGCCTTGAGCTGAAGAGCTGAGGGACAGTGCTCACGCCCAGAGTTCAAGCCCCATGACCAACAATGACAACAACAAAAAGTTATCAGAGGAAAACAAAATATAACTAAGATGTATTCAAAAACAACTTAACAACTAATGAAAATACATATGCACTTATTATAACTTAGAAATATTATGCCTAAATTTCAGTAACTGATAGTGTAAGAGCCAATACATACTTAACCTGAATTAGAACCCTTAGAATACCAAGCACCCTGGTTTGTTGGAATCAGTCTATTGAGTCAGAGGGTGCTAATGTTCTAGAACAGCAACACAGGGAATCTTCTATAGTAACTGCTGACATTGAGAGACTCAAAGTATTTTCTTCAGGCAAAAAAAACACCAACTTTGACATTAATATAGGTTATCTTATATTTTTAAAAAAATCAAATAAAAGTATAAAAAATAAAATCAGGATCCCCTGATTAGCAAGTGCTTTCTCATTTAGTCTTCACAGCAATTCCAGTCTGTTTATGATACAGCTAATAAGTAAAAGAGATAAAAAACGATCCTTAGATCCCTCTACTGTTAATGTAACACACAGCTTTGGGAACCTGGGCCAACAATCAAAGTATATATGAAATGACTTTTTACCTTTTTAAGCACACTGTTTTTTCTCAAGAGCCACTCCCTTCTCTTAGTCAGAGAATGACAATACATGTAGAGCAGGGCTCCTCGCCTCCAAGAGAGACATTCCAGCAGCTCGTCCCCAAGCAAATCACAAGGCTGAAACAAGAGGACGGAGCTAAAAGGAGATACTTGGTATCTACAAGTCATGTTTCAAAAACTTCAGCAACTAAAAACTCATTTCACTAACTGTACCATGTTCGGCTAATTTACACAGAAATGTAGAATTGATAAAAACACTTAGTGACAGCTACATTAAATTTAACTCAATTTATAATTAGCTTTACAAAATCATGTTTAATATTTTAGCAGCAAATTACTCTGACAAATTACTCTGAGAAATATACCATCCATAAATTGATTAAAAATAATCTTTCACAAAAGCAGAAAGAATTCAACAATTTAGATAGAAAAATAATTTTAATGAGTCAATGTTTTTTATTGGTCATACCAAGGTTTGATTTAGGGATGATTTCTTTCCACAGTGAGCCTGCCCTAATACATATACAGAACAGAGGTGGCATCTAGCTAGTCAGCAGGCACTAAAAGGTAAGAAACTGTTTTCTTGAAAGAGTGCCCAGGACTAGAGAGAGAAACCTTGAAACCATTTACATAGAATGACAATTTAAAAAGCATGTGAAGCTGGGCGCCTATGGCTCACATCTGTAATCTTAGCTACTCAAAAGGCTGAGATATGATGAAGTTCTAAGCCAGCCTGGGCAGGAAAAAGCTGTGCCTCAAGTAGTTGAGTACTAGCCTACAGCACAAAAGCTCAAGGGACAGTGCCCAGAAAGGCCCTAAAGCTCAAGCCCCAGGACAGGCACACACATAAAAATAAATAAATTTAATTTTAAAAAAGCATGTGAACAGGCTGTAAAGACAGAACAGAGATGGGCAGAAGATGTAGACATCTTTGAGGACTATTATAACTATTTGTTATATAAAAAAGCTGCTGGGGAAAGAGTAAGAGAAGGCTTGTTAAAGATGAAAAACACCATACGGGAGATGGGTCATTGATTCCTGGGGGGAAATAAAGCAACTGCAAAAGTAAAGAGGGTAAGTAGGGAATATCTTACGTTAGTGTATTGCAATTACATTTTATTATGCCAATGTGAAAATATTAAGAAAAATACATTTTACTGACTCAGTAAAGATATCCTGTGTTAAGATATCCTGTCTCCTTCCTCCAATATTAATTTAAAGCAGAAACCAAGGAAGTATGGCAGGCATGGTGGCTGCAATCCTAGTAATTTGGAGGCAAAAATCAGAAGTCTCATTCAAGGATAGCCTTGGCAAAAAAATAAAAAGAGAGAGAGAAAGTTTGCAAGATTCCATCTTGATCAGTGGGTGGAAGTGTGGTGCTCATCTGTTAGTCCAGCAATTCAGGGAGCACAAACAGAAGGATGACTACCCAGGATAGTCAGAGCATAGAGCAAGACCCTATCTTGAAAATAACAAACACAAAAAGGGGCTCGTGAGGTGGCTCAAATGGCAGAACATATGACCTCTGTTCAAACCTAAGTACTACCAATAAAAATGTTTTTGAAATACCTGAGCACTGGTTGCTCACACCTGTGACCCTAGCGTTTCAGAAAGCTGATCACAGCAAGGCTGAGGATCACAGTTTGAAGCCAGCCCAGGCAGAAAAGTCCATGAAACTCATCTCCAAATAAGCACCAAAAAAAACAAAAGTAGAGGTAGAGCAATGGCCTTAAACAAAAAAGCTAAGGGCACAACTCAAAAGATCAAGTTTCTTGGAAAGTCCAACATAATAAACACAGGGAAAAGAATACTCAGGAATAGAGTCAAGGGGAGAAGAGGTAAATAAATAAGAGAAGTGAAGAGAAAGCACACCCAATAAAACTAAGAAAATTGGGGGAAAGGGTAGGGTTGGGAAGGATAGGGAAGAATAATGAAAGGGGTGGTATCTGGGGCTGGGAAGGTGGCTCAGTGGTAGACCACTTGTATTGCATGCATGAGGCCCCGGGTTCAATTCCTTAGCACCACATAAGCAAAAAGAAAAAAGCCGGAAGTGGTGCTGTGGCTCAAGAGGTAGAGCACTAGCCTTGAGCTGAAGAGCTGAGGGACAGCACCCAGGCCCAGAGTTCAGGCCCCACAACCGGACCCAAAGAAAAAAAAAAAAAAAGAAAGGGGTGATATCAATCAAGATGCATGGTATTCATACTGCTGTGCTGAATGGCAACTCCTTTATACAACTACTTATAGATAATAAAATGTAATTTTTTTAAAAAAAGCTAAAGGTTCAGACTGAGTTTAAGCCCCAGTACCAACATGTGAAAACACACACCACACACATTCAAATAGCTTAGTTAATTACATATTTAAAACATAGAAACAATGATATATTCAAGGGGATTTTAAAAATATTCTAAAGAAAAGGATAGTAAAAGCTAGCAACAGTATACTAGAATTCATACAAACGCAAAACTTACTTTTGAATGTACACTGTTTTCCTTAACTAAAATTTCTGGTTCTGAAAGAAAACTGATCAGTTCTTTTACTTTCTGTGAAGAATCTTCAGGAAAATCTTCATCTACTAGCTTATTCTCCTCAAAATAGGTCATGTCCAAAATAGCCTATGGGAAAAAGAGGAAAAAAGCATCTATAAATGACACAAACTTGAAAGAATAAATGTTAGGGTTTAACTTTACAGATAGGGAAGAGAAATGCTTTAGTGGACATTCAAACCTTCTAGCCCAGTATTTAAATTTGCAAAATGTCTAGCTATAAAGGTAATTTGAGATGAAACCTATAGAAAATTTCATAGATATTTTACTAAAATACTACTAAAATGATGACCTTGTTTAAGGGGAAAAAATGAAGCCAGGCGCTGATAGCTTACACCTATAATCCTATTACTCAGGATGCTGAGATTTGAGGAACACGGTTTCCAGCCAGGCAGGAAAGTCAATGAGACTCTTTATCTCCAATTAACTACCAGAACAACCTAAGTGGCACTGTGGTAGAGCGCTTGCTTACGCTAAAGAGTTCAAGGACAGCACCTAGGCCCTAAGTTCAAGCCCCATAATCAACAAGAAAGAAAATGAGACTGATTGATTTTTAGTGGTACTGGGTATGAACTCAGGGCCTTAAACTCTCACAAGCTTACCACTTGAATCACTTGGAGATAAAGTCTTAGAAACTTTTTTGCTTCCACTAATTTTGACTAACTTTGAACTGAGATATTTCTGATCTCAGATTCCTGAGCAGCTAGTAGTACAGGCACAAGCCACTGGCATTGGCTAAGATTTGTTTTAATTAACATTTTTTAATCATATGATCAAAAATGGTTATACTCTCTGGTCTTTATACATGCATAATCTCTGAAGTCTTTCTCAATGCCTACAATACTAATGGTACCACCTCTAAGTTTCATTCAATTAACAAATAAAATGCTGGACTAGAGGTATGGCTTGAATGGTAGAGCACCAGCTGTAAGCAAGTCTAGCGAAAGCATGAGTTCAAACCATGGCACCAAGACAGAAAAAAAAAAGAGGGAGGGCAGGATTCTTAAAATGCTGATACTACGTAGGGGGAAATCATATTTAGAATTCTAAGGAAAGGTGAATTTCAAAGAGAAAAAAAACATATGGCCTAAAGTCTCCAATACCCATAAAAACTTTCAAGATATCTTAAGATACCACATGCATTAATATTCTCACTAATTATCCAGTAAAAGTAATTAATATTCTATTGATACAGCTAATAAATCTTCCTCCTTTGCATACTGCTTCCAAGTTTCAAGTCTATATACATTTTAAGAAAACAACAACATGGAAGTGGTGCTGTGGCTCAAGTGGTAGAGTACTAGCCTTAAGCTGAAGAGCTGAGGGACAACGCCCAGGCCCACGGTTCAAGCCCCATGATCAATCAAATTAAAAAAAAAACAACCAACAACAAAGTTCAACATTCCCATAAAGATTAAACAGACTTTACTACATTTAAAGTTTGGAGTCTACCACCTAAATAAATTGCTTTCAAAATGTCTGTGTTCACATCTGGTTTAGTACCTGTGTATAAAGTTCTAGAAGATTTGATGGATTTGAATGTTCTTTTTCTTCTCCACACAAGTGCTTCAACTTTTCTAGAGCTGCAGAGGCCCGAATTAAAAAGTGATCTGTAAGAAATAAAAACATAATTACTTCACATAGATTCAGACTGCATTTGAAACATCAAAAGAAGTTATATGTCTAAAAAGATCAAACAAGATTATTTTATAACATACGGATGAACAGCAAAGCAGTAATAATATCTTACCCAAACATGAAAATATATCACAATATCCAACTTAAGTAAACAAACGTATTATGGGCATTTGTTCTAGGAAGCAAAAATTGAACTTTTCCTAGATTCACTATTGCTATTTCTTAAATCCTGTCAATTTTCTCACAATGTTTCTTACATATTAAATATTTAAAAAATAAATTTACAACTTTTACTGGAATGGGACAAATACTATATGTAAATCTAGAGCTCTCAATGAAAATATGTAACTATGAATTTACTTGTAAATGTTTTCTAAAAGAACATGATTGTCCAAATCAAATCTTCATGAAATTATGAGCACTATAAGCAAAATTTATTAAATATGCCTGTAATTACAAACTCACCCAACTTCTACCTTCAGTCTTTTTTTACCCCCTTTCTCTATCACACTCCCTTTGCTACATCTGATTTCAGATTTTCTTATGTGCCCATACCAAGCTATTATCCACCCTTCTGTATCACCTCATGTAGTAAAATTTAGTATATGCCTACTATAGTAAAGGACGCCAAAGTCTCTGCAATTTTCTTCTGAAAATATAGGTCCTGTCCTCTTCATTGGCCAACGGACAGATAATGTAACATTTGTTCTGGCCTTATCAGATCCAACCTCAGCAATTACACAGAGATAACCTGCTTAGTGTTGAAGCAAAACTAGTAATGTCACCTCCACTTGCAATCATATGATGACCTTTAGTTTTTCCAGGTTCAGACTAATCTGAAAGTTCAGCAGATTCTGACTACCATCGATCCACTATGTACATCATCTGAAACTTCTTTAGCTGCCTTCCTTTCTCTTTTCAAGCTAGAAGTAGCAACCACACAACCATGAAAAGACTCTACTGTGAACCAAAATTGTATGGAATACTGGTACTCATTATGTGCTTCTAAAGAGACTGTCTATATATTTTTTCCTTTTTGTGTGACACTTGAGACTGAATCCAGTGCATTGTAGGGAAACACTGAAGCCACCCTACCAGCCTTTTTGTCTATATTTTGGTTTTGAGATAGGGTCTCACTAACTTCGTCAGGGCTGACCCTGCACTCAAGATCCTCTTGCCTCCACTTCCTGAGTACTTAGGATTAAATGCATGTACTACTACACATGGCTGATGTTCACATTTTCTTAAATTCCAAGATTATATTAAATGTAAAGTCTTGTACCGAACTCACTAAACCATTGCCGAAGAAGTATGTCATATAAACTCATGACGTGGTGGTGGTGGCATACCTACCATTTCAGAAAAGTCCATATAAATGCACTATTTTGCAAGGTGTGTTAACACATGCCTAAAATCCTAGCATTCAGGAGCAGAAGGACCCAATATTCACTGCATGGTGAGTTTCAAGCAAGCTCAGACTACATAGGGAGACCCTACTCAATAAGAAAGCATTAATTTTTGTTATAACTATTTATCCAAAGTAATAAACAACAGGGCAAAAGATGAAAGTAATTCTTACATAATCTCTAGAAAAAGTCCTTTCCCCTATAGTATATCTCCAGTTTAACATCCTAATAGAAAAATGACTTGCTGTTAATCTGATTTAAGACACTAGAACTATCAATCATTACAACCTACTATAATTATATCATTGTTACATGCAAGGACAATTTTTTAATGTTATTCTTTTTGTTGTGTAGGAAAAGAATGCCAGGTTAAATTAAAATGGATGTAACTTTGTTTTAACTAAATTTTGTAAATCTTACTATCAATACTTTAGTAATAGCTACTGCTATGACTTTAGTAAATTTTTAGATACATAAGGCTTCCAAAAATAAATATACAACAAACATCTGACTTTTATCTCCAGTTTTCATTGTAGATTGGGGTACTCTTCTAAAGGAAAATAGAAATGTTTTGGGGATCCAATAATAAGTGAATAAAAAACCACTCTTTGATTTCTTTGTCCTGGTCCAAAGAGACTTAGTGGTAACCTAGGTATACTTCCAGGTAATAGCTACTAGTTACTACTCATGAACTAGCTATTGATGTAAATCCTAAGATTCACTTACCACAAACCAAAAGAGAAGTAGGCTTCAGTGTGGTCTATGGGTCTTTGATGAACATACTCCTAAGAAGAGATAATCCAGCAAACAATCTTCTCTGAAACTAGGTGTTTTCATTGTAGATCCTAGTCAATAAATATACCAAGTATTTAATCTCTTGGGAAAATGTCCCACTACTGTTTGCCTATGAGTCCGATCACAAATTAGTCCACAAGAATTTTAAAGCCTATGTGTGTTTGTGTGGGAAAAGCTCAAACCTGAAGGGGAGCAATGCAGAACCTACAGGCAACTGAGAAGTCATAAAAGGACCTAGAAGTCACAAGACAGAGATTAATTCCTAAACCAGGTTTTCCTAAAGAATCCACTTGGACGTTCCAGAGCACTTATTCGCCTATCCACAGGTCCCTTCAAATGATGCACATGAAAGACTCATCTGAAAGGCACCAACAGAAAGCTTTCTGTAAAATACCATCTACTGCTGAGCTCTGCGTCCAACACAACACAGGTTTCCAGCGCAGGAAGTAACACGTGGAGCGTGCGATCCATGCCCGCGGGATGCGACCTCGCCACGGCTGGGATCCCGCGGGTCTGACCACTCACTGAAAGCCTCCTGGGTACTTCAGTCCACCTGAGCCCTGTGCTCACCGGTGTGGCTCACCAGTTTCCCGATTATGAAATGCGACTTGGGAAGAAGCGGAGCGCTGACAAGGTACGTTCTGCCGACGGGCGGCGACGGCGCGGAGTGGGCCGCGGGGGGGAGCGCCAGCTCGGGGCGCCGAGCCGGGGACCCCCGAGCGCGCCCAGGGCCCCAGGCCGCGGTCTCCGCTCCGCACGGCCGCCGGGCGCCCGCCCCGCACGGCCGTCCTCCCCGCCCGCCCGCCCGCTCTCCTCTCCCTCACCGTCTTCACCCGCGGCTTCGCTGAGCTGCTGTATGTGGGCCTGAGCCAGGTCCCCGAGCTCTTCCACCCGCCGCACCACGCAGGAGACTGCGGCCGCCATGGCCACAACAGGCGGCCGCGCCCAGGCCACGTGACTCCGCTGCCACGAGGTCATGTGATCCCTCAGCACAGGCCGCGTCGGGCGGAGCTCCCACGCGGGAGGGAGGGCCGGGCCCGCAGAGGTCGTTCCGGGTATTCTCTTCCTCCCAGACGCGGCTCCCTCCCTCCCATAATCCTGTGCAGAGGCTTCTCCGCCCCGCCAGATGACGTGGAGCCACACCTCCCTCCCGCCTTCTTCTCTAACCCAATCAGAAATCAGTCATGCCCGAGGCTGATCCAATGAGAAGCCGGCTCTCTGTCGGCGCCGGGCAAGGAGCAAAGCAACTCTGCCAGTTGGCAGGAAGGGGGCGGGCCGAAAGTCTAGACAAAGAGGGCTGTTAGCTTTGGCTTTGTAATGAGGTTGCCTAAAATAAAAATGATTATAGTCCGTGGTCAGGAACAAGAAGAAAGCTGCCAGGCCCTGTGTGGCACAACTAAGGCTAGATTGTCGTGAGAAGGGGTCGAGGACGCTCGGGGCTCCAAACGAGTGCAGTTCTGCATATCGCTTTTTCAGTCTTTTTGTATCTGTGTGTGCCAGTCCTGGGGCTTGAACTCAGGGCCTGGACACTGTCCCAGAGCTCCTTGTGCTCAAGGCTAGCACTCTACCACTGAGCCACAGTGCCACTTCCAGCTTTTTCTGTTTATGTGGTACTGAGGAATCGAACCCAGGGCTTCGTGCACGCTAGCGAGCGCTCTACCATTGAGCCACCCTCCCAGCCCTGCAGATCGCTTTTCTAAGTATGGTTTTTAGCGATCGACTTCATCTCCCAGTCCCTGGCTGCCTCACAGTACGAGTATTTTAACGGTCCCGAGTCCGACGGTGCCGAACGTTGCAGCTGTGCCACAATTTCGGTTGCCCTTGTCCTTGGGCCAAGTCACTCCGTCCCTGGGAGACTCAAAACACTCTACAACAACAACAAAAACAAACAAAACTCAGACGAGTATTTCCCATTCCCCCGACTGCTTTCTTGCCTCTGGTCAAACAGACCGTGAATGAGGCTTACTGGTTTTCAGTTTGACACATATATCTTGAATTAACTCCATCCTAACCTATTTCTTATAAGGTGGTGGTGATTGTTCAATAGAAAATGCTAAAAGGCAAATGGAATGTTGTGGCTTACGTGTAACTACAATGACTTTCCTCCTCCTGGCCTTTGTAAAGGCAGTTTCTCCCTCTGACAAGTCACTCTATATGAACAAAAACCATACAATATTCCTTTAGTGTTTCTACCAGTGGCTAGCATATAAGGAATATAAATACTCAGATAATGAAATAAAGAAGGAAAGAAAAAATGAAGGAAGGAAGGAAGGAAAAGGAAGGAAGGAAGAAGGAAGGAAGGAAGGAAGGGAGAGAGGGAGAAAGGGAAGGAAGGAGGGAGGGAGGGAGGAAAAACTCTAGTTATCAAGAATCTGAAGGCCATGAAGTTTGCATTATATGATCAAGGTGGGTTAATGAATTCATACTTAGATAAGCATTTCAAACCAGAAAATACCAACCTCATTAAATAAAATTTACAATCCCAGTGATGCAATAAATAACCAGGGAATTTTAACAGAAAACGTACTTAACACGGGGAAATATTGCTCAGTTGATACCCTGGAGTGCACTTATTTTCAAGGAAAGAGCTGGAAGCCATCTGATAATAGTTTAAGCCCCCCATACAGTTGAGGAAAATGAAGAAGACAAGACTTTTAACCACTCTAACCTTAGAATATATGATTTTTAGTTTTACTCAACATCATAGCAAAGTAAACATGCTTATTGTAGTGCCTGACCCAATAATGGGTCATTAAATGAAAAATGAACATATATAAAACAAAAGACTTATGTTAGTCACTGGTGGCAGCTGATTATATATATATATATGTGTGTGTGTTTATATATGTATATATATTCATAGGGGATTGGGAAATTTATGAGGAAATAAGTCCTAGACGAAAGTATAAAGTTGTCAGAATGCACAAGTTGTAAGGATTAGTAACTTAGGGACAAACAATGAAAGCTATCTCATAACAGTGATACACGGGTATCAGCAGTAAATAATAAAGTGTTAAAAACCATAGAACCTGTGTGCAGGAAAATAAGTAATTTTTCTCCAACCAGTAAGTTATTTTTTTTACTTCAGGAAATCCACATTAGAACAAATGAAGATACCTTGGTAGGCTTTTTTTAGACCTTAGATAAATTAAGAACTCAATATCATAAACCAAAAATAGTTGACCTCATTTGTACTATCTTTGTTTCCACTGATATATATATATATATATATATATACATAATTATATATAGTAGATATACATATAATGGATAAAGTCCAATCTGCAAAGAAGAAATTATTTTCTAGGGATTTTTTAAAGGTATTTTTGAATGTAAAATTCCACTTGTTCCTAAATTACCAGGGACAAGCTGATACCACTCTCTTACCATTTTCTTTTAACCTTTTTTACATTTTTGCATGGGTCTTTTTTGCCTTATATAAGTCTGACAACCCCCTTTGATCCATTTAGTTACCATCAGTAACATATATAATAAAAGTTCCTTGCGTATTTACTCCTTTTCTCATTTAATGGGGTCCGGCATTATGATAGACAATACAATTAAAACTATCGCAATAAAAATTAACATGATCCCTGCACTGTAAGAGCTTATTGTCTAGGGTTATAAAGATACAAGAATACAAATGAACACAAACTTACAATTGTGGAATATTCTGTGAAAGAAAACTAAATGGCTATGATTTACTTTAAGGAATATAATAAGCCTCTCTGAGGAAATGACTGCATTAAATTATGAATGAAATTAGCCAGGTGGTGGTGGTGGAGAGTGTATCCACGACTTTATCCGATGGGGAGAGAAACCACACAGTACAGAGCATGGAGATAACCACCTTTAACTGCAGTAATAGGGAAGCAGAGGTAGGAAGATCACAAGTATAAGGACAGCTTGGGCTATATAGGTAGACACAGACTCCAAATAAGGAGGAAAAAGTAGAGCAGAATGATAAAGAAGAAAAGGAGCAAAAGACAAGAAACATAGTAATCTGAATTTAAAAAAAAAAACAACTTGAGAAGTAAGAAAGCTCTAACAAATGAAGGAGCAGCAGATGTAAGGAATAGCTGTTATACTGAGACAAAAATTCAGACTTTGGAGAGAGCACTGTTATGAGTCACTAGATAGCAGAGAAGCTGCTAAGATCTCCATTGGTGACAATTCCTGGAATTCTATCTTCTGGAACTTGTGAGGAAAATGTCCTGTGAAGTTCCAGGAAAGCTATTCATGAAGAAGCAGTCTGCTACAGAAACACCAAAGGTAAATGCCAGGAAGAACTTCTGGTTGCTATGCATTGCAAGAGTCCCGTGCCCAGAGAACTCTGGTGTCAGCAAGCAGCTCATGCTTAAAATGCCTGACAAGAAAGGACACTCAAACCAAGAAAGACATTTTACTTCCTGCAATGCCTCTCAAATTCCCTGGACAATAAGAGCTCTACCTCACATCAGCTGACAGAGGAAAAATATTTAAAGGGCCAGATGTATTTGCACAAAACAAATCAGGAGGATATTTTGGAGATGAGAAGAAATAAATCTGTAACTGGCGCAAAGTAAAGGAACATATCAGTGTAGTAGATAACCTGCAAAAGTTGTTTGGAAAGAGCTCAACAGTTTGTAGGAATTAAAGAAAGCCAAAAGCCTTACCGAGAAGGAAAGTTGAGGTCTAAGAACACATCTGGAAATGATTTCTCTTCCCCCACTACTCTCTGGTGATACTAAGCTTTCGTTTGTTTTACTTGTTTTCTCAGCTGGCAATCTACCACTGAGCTTTTTGAGAGCTATTTTGGAAACAGAATTGTATTCTTCTCTGCCCAGGCTAGCCTCAAGCTTCAATCCTCACATATCTCCCTCATAACTGTGGAAATGAACCCCAAAACCTAGATATGACCCATTGACCTATTGACCATGTCTATATTAATCGACCCTAACTTCTGGCCATTAATTCAACATTTAGTGAATACTAGGCCTGTGTGGATATTCACTATCATCCTAGTTATTAGCTGGGGTATCAGACTATAAGAACTTGGGCTCAAATACTGTCTCTATTCTGGTATACTCTCCATGATAGTATACTTAGTATACTGTACTAGAAAAATGAATTAAAATTTGTAAAATGATGATCATTATAACTTCTTCTCAAGTAGTTATGAAGGTTAAATTAAGTGATTTATATGGGTTCTTTGGTGACAACCACTGTTTTATCTGTTCTTTGCCCTTATTAGTCTTTTGTTCTGTTTTCCCTTTCTACATAGTACTATACTCCAATATAGGAAATTCATCATTGTTAGATTTTTTTCAGTATAGAGTGTACATAAACCTCAAAATGCTAAAGTATATTGAAGTGATTTTCATCTCTATGTTTCCCTTACCATCTCTTCTCAATCTCAGCAGCTCCTGTTGCATTTTGTCTAACTCAATCAAGCTGAGCCAGTCTTCTCCGGTTAAACTAAAACTACCCAGTGAGCAACCTGATCCTACATCAGCATTTTCACATTTGCTGAACACCAAAACTTTTCCAGATTCCTTATAAAGCCATTTTTCTTTTAGCCATAAGTGTGATTATAATTTTTAGACTTAAAATTTTTATGTATTTTTGATAATTTTTTTTTACCAAATGTGTATTTACCTACCAAATACATAGATTAAAAAACCTGTGGTCAACAGTAGAATAGCTATTCTGCCACCTCATTGAAAATTAATTTCTCTAAGCCTAGATTGAAAGTTGTGAAGCACAGAACAAGCATGTATTTTAGATGGATCTCTAGTGACCTTTAGAAAGTGCAGCATCCCTTCCAAAAAATGTATAGCATATTGGATTTGATTAGATGGAGCCCCTACAGGTAATGCTGAACCAAAATAAAACTAAAAATATTGGCAGAAGACATATTATGAAACTCTTGGTGTGTCATGATAAGGAGTTTGGAATGATATAT